CGTGCCAACACATCCTTCTGTTTCACTCCTTAAGCTGCTATTTGAATGTTAGCTGTAAAACACTGAACCCACGAATAAAAAAATAAGGAACCTGCTTTAATCTGGACGGGAGGGCTGGATGGATGTCTCAGCCCGACGTGTTGCTGCTACTTTTTGGTATAAACTCTGCCATTCCGCAGGGCAATGGGAAGAGGATCTATCTCAGTCAGCTCCTTTGGGTCCCCTGCCCAGCACTGCTGGGTGAAGGGGCAGAAAAGGCAGAAAAAATGCTTCAGCTGCTTGTTGGAGGGTGATCCTTTGAGACATTGCAGGCTTCGGATTATTACCTGTCACCACCAACCCAACAAACACACCGACCTGCCAGCATCATCTTGCCAGGGAGCTGGAGATGAAAGGGTGCCAATGCAGAGAGACAAAGCCTGCCTCAGAAGCAGTGACACATTAATTGTTGTTATTGCTTATAATCACACATAATGACAGCACAGGAGAGCACTGTGGCCACTGGGAATCGATTCACAACAAGCCCCTCCAGGCCTGAGAGAAAGAAACAATGACAAATGTCCAGAAACTTTGAGGGAAGTCAAGGATGAGCATCATGAGTTCATGCCTTGTCTGCATGCTGGACACGTGTTAATAATGGCATCTCTTGGTCCACGGTGGGATCTCACATAGTGGTGGAACATGACATAGGCAAGGGTGGTCGACATGGGTTCAGGTTTGCATTTTGGTCAGATTTGCCAGGCACACCACTGAGCTGTGTGGTGCTGAGGTGTAAGCCGTACTCACCAGCCCATCCTGAGCCAGCCTCACAGCTCAGCACGCTCCTGTCATGGAAAGGCAGCCAAGGACTGCATGGGGGACAGCTAGGCTCATATAGCTGCCTGAATCTGGAGCGGGTTCAAGTTCAGGAAGCAAAAGGGACCCAGCTCAGGCCAAAATGGATGGATGGCCATCCCACCGAGGCGGATGGACAGACACCCCATGGGTCTATGCTGTCTACATGGGCACGGTGTGGGGGCTTGAGGGTTAAGCCCCAGCCATGCTGAGCATCACGTCTCCTTGTTAATGGGGCTCGGAAGGCTGCATGGCCAGCACAGCTCGTGCAGGAGTGGCCTCTGCCCACTGCAGGGTATGTCAGGCTGAGCTGTCAGAATGCACTCTGCAAACGAGCAGCACTGTGAGCTCTATGCTCACAGCTCTGTGCTCCTCGCAGCCCTTCGCTGAGGATAAGCCAGAGCTGTGGTGGTGTGCAGGTGGAGCAGTGGGTGCTGGGCACTGGGAGTGCCTCCTCTCTGCACCACTCCTCATGGCATCACTCCATGACGAGCTCAGCATTGCCAAAGGCCGCCTTCAGCCTACTCTTCCTCATCCTCCTCCCACCCCCCTCCCACCCTCACAGCAGGCACGAGCAGTGTTGGTACTCACAATTACAAGCTCTGAGATGTCCTCCACCAACCCACGGCAGCTCAGTAGCTCTCTAGTGATGCACACTTCCATGGGACAAACTTAAGCCACTCCGGAAAGCTGGTACCCGCCACTCCTTTCCCAAGGGTTCTTCTTTAATGCGGGAAAAGCAAGAGCAAGCAGCTGTGTCCAGCTTGACGTGGAGCAGAAGCAGGAGGCTCTTTGTCTCTGTCTGCACTAGGGGAGGTGGGAAGCTCTGTTCCAAGAGTTTCATCCCATGCATGTCTAGGAGAGCCCAGGCTCGGCTCTGTCCTGGCACGGCTGCCATCAGGCTGCAGAGATGCTGACTGCCACGAGAGGACACCATCCTACCTCCGACTTCCTCAGCGCTCAGCCCTCAGTAAAAATATCCATAATAATATTACAGGGATCGAGTGGAACACACACGTCGGAGAGGAGAGCAAGAAAGAAACAATATGTTGATCATCCTGCTCTAACCAGCGAGAGCACTGCCCTGCCATTTATTTCTGCAGCAAGTATCCCTTTAAATACACAAATCGCAAGGACATTAGGCTGTAACAGGCAGCCCAGGGATTAGTTTGAATAGACTTCATCTGGTGGTTTGTCGTGCGCGTGAGGCTGTGTGCTGGTTGACTTTAAAATGGAATAAACCACATTTAGCAGCTAGGTAGCTATGGAAACATAACCAAAATTGTTCTACCACCTTTCTGCCGCACTGCTTCCCGCAGCCCTGCAAATACTGTCAGGGGAGGGCTGAATATTGTTTCTTATAAATAATAGAATGTAAAGAGCTACAGAAAGAATCATTGAATTAGGACTGCGAAGCGGAGATGGTTCGGGGGAAAAAAAAAACCTGCTCAGTAGATGTAATATTAGTTTCTGATGACTTCGCGATGATAAGAAACTTAATTTTATTCTTTTGTATTTTTGCAGCTTGCAGAAAGGCGTGGGGTGAGGAAATAGATGTATTTTGGTCATGCACTCGTGTGGAGGTTAGTATGTGTGTGTGTGTGTATATAAACACATGCACACAAACACTGCTGGCTGCATCCACGCGAGCAGAAATACACCCACAGCAGTCAGTGTTTGAAAAGCACTCGTCTGCTGCCCCAGCCCACAGCTGGGCTCTGACCCCCCCCCCCTCCAACCCCACTTTCTTTCCCAAGCGAGGGGCTCACAGCTGAAGGGGCCTCCCAGGGTGCTGCTGAAATTGGGCAAGGGAGGCTGGCAACGGGGGTCAGCAGGACGAGGACAGGGGACGAGGTAGGATTCTGTGCTGTCACAGAAATGAATGGCAACGTGGTTTTGGTCAGATGTGCCACCTCTTAGTGATGGTCCAACATGGATGGGGTTTTTTGGGTGCTGTCCCAGTTCAGCATTACCAAATGTCAAGCAGAGTCAAGGCTGGGATTTCTAAATAGCATCAGCACAGATGCAGAGCAGATGCTTGTCCAGCTCTACATTTAACTCTTCCAAGCCACCCAGGGCTTTCTTCCTCTCATTTTCTCCTTCAGATCTGTCCACTTCAGCTCAAGTTCTCGAGGTCCTGCTATGAAGTCCCTATAACTCCTTTTCCATCGTCCCTTGGCCCCGAGACATGGCCACCAGAAGCTCATGCAGCACCTGGGATGGGGATGCACAGTGGACGCACCCCGCAGCACAGTGGCAGCCCGTTTCACTCTCCATTCCTTTCTCCGTAACTCCTAGGATGGCCACTGCCTTTGTGATCACTGCTGACATTTCCAGAAACAGCCTGCCTTACCTCTACAGCCTCCTTCCAGAGAGGTAATAGCTCATGGAGACTGTGCTGCTGTATAGGTACAGCCGCTGCTGATTTTTTTCCATGTGCAGTTACCAACAGTGAATTCCCTCTGCCATTTCATCACCTGCACGCTGCAATCCTCTGGCATTTCTTCGCAGTCAGCTTTTGTCGGCACTGTTCTGAATAATGCTGTTGCCTTGCAAGTTTTGTTTCCATCTGCTCCCTTTGCCAGTGTTTGTGGGTCCGCTGAACAACAGGAGCCCTACCACGAGACCCCTGCCCTAGAGCAATTGGATTGCCCCTTCTCACAGTTAGACTCATAGAATCACAGAATGTTTGGGTTGGAAGGGACCTTACAGCCCACCCAGCCCCAACCCCTGTGGGCTGGCTGCCCCCCACCAGTTCAGGCTGCCCATGGCCCCATCCAGCCTGGCCCTGAGCACCTCCAGGGATGGGGCACGCACCCAATACCCTACATCAGATTGCCTTCTTCAGATATGGGATTCACCAGCATGCCAGCTGCTCCGTCCTGCCTGCTGGAGGAGCTTCATGGCCCCATATCATCATTCTGAGGTTAGCAGCAGGCCCCTCTCCAGGCCTGTGTGTTGTTGCTTTAACAATCAGAGGGATGGAAAAACAAAACCCTTTACTGTCTATTGTTAAACTTTACTGTCTAATGTTTTAATAAACAGTCAACTTCTTCCTCTGATCGTTAAATCAGCAGTAAAGCAGTATGGAGACGGGTTTATGAGATCCTATCTGCATCACTAACATACAAATGTGAGGTCTTGGCAGCTGTGAGCAGCTACACCCCATCACATGGCTTCCTGCCTGCTTCGAGGGCTGGATCTGCTGTGGGTTTGGAAGAGGTACAGCTCCTCCTGCCTGCTGGGAGACGGGCAGAGAGAGACCTCACAAGGGCCCTGCTCACCCTTCCCCACCAAACTCCACACCTGTGGAAAGATATTGGTGCAGACAGGACGATTGCCCCATCCCCAGGAGGGGGACGTCCTCCTTGAGAAATCAGACAGGGGACATCAGCCCAGAATGGGACAGGGTGTATCCTGCTGTATGCCCTGCAGCAGCCATTCCGGCTCCATGCTCTGCAGCAGTAAAGCCAGGCTAATGAACTCGAGTGCCACACAGTCAGTGTCGAAAGAAACTTCAACCCTTTGTTATCTCTGGGATGATTTGTGTTTGCCTGATAGCAATAACCCCCTTTAATCTCTGTTTTTCCAAGCACCCCCAGCCTGCAGCCCTGCAGCTGTATGCCGCGTGGCTCCGAGCGCAAGCAGCCACGGTGGTCTGCGTTCATTCTATGCAGGGCTCACTTCTAAACACTTCCCAAAAAGTATATCTGCCACTTCTCCTCCAAGAGGAATAATGATTGCCTTACCCATCTCCAAAGTAATTTTTAATAGATCACAGTTGTTGCATCAACTTTGATCACCCAAAGTAGGGATTTATCTCCTCGGGGGTGGCTCTGTCAGCAATAGACACCAGGTTTCCTGCCTACCACCATTTGTGGGCTGTTGCAACCATTTGTCCAGTCATAAAATTATTAGCACATTATCCCTGGGCAACGACTTGCAATTTTCTCTTTTTATTACTCAATAAACAGTTTGGAACCCAACCCCCCAGAGTGAGAATAGAAACTAACCCACTACTTACACATCCATAAGCGATGCCAAAAGGAGAGAAGGTGTAGGAACACAGAAATGCTACAGAATATATGTATATAAATAAAAGAAGACAAGTATCTTGCACGATTTTTGTCATAATGGAAGTAAAATGTGGCTTAGGACATCTGCAAAGGAATGAGGGAATAGAGTCAAAGCTTGGAAAAGACCCACACAAGAGGGCTGCTGGCACAAGATTTCCTCCACCCTGGTTTTCTATATGTAGCCCCAACTGCCAATGCTTCCTATTGAGCAGGTCTGGGTGCTCAGAGAGCACTGAGGAAAAACAATTCAGCACATAGTTGATTCAGTGTAGCTGTATTAATTCCAGCTATATTATAGCTATTTATTTCCAGTAACGGCTAGGGGAAGGGGCTTTTGTGGAGGAAGGGGATTTTCTAAATGAAATAGAAAAGCAGTTTATGGAGAGTGAAAACTGGTCCCAAATCCAAGTCTAATTGAATAAGAAATAACCTGGATGCTTTCTTTCCATTCATAAGCTTGTTAAAATTCTGAAAGTATGTACATATAATCTCACATTTACTAAACAAATCTATTCCGTTTTTTTGTTTCAGCGTGACATTTTCTATTTCAAAGCTGACCTATTTTGAGGAGTAAGAAAATTAGCTGAATTCCCCAAAATCAAAACACTTCATTCTGGTTGAATAAAATATCAGGAGGCTTCTTTTTACCCTCTCTCCAAAGAAGTATGCTCCTCGCAGGGGGGGGGGGTCTTCCAGAATGGATTTTATTTATCCTTTTGAAGTCCACTTCAGCCATAGAACAGGGGAAAAAAAAGCCTCTAGACAATCTGCACAGCAATGATTTCCAACCTACATTCATGTTCAAAATCGTTCCCATGGATTTGGGATATAGGAATTTGAAGCGTAGGTAGGGATTGATGAACGGAGTGATGGATTTTGCCTGGAACAAAGGTTTTTTGGGGGGCACTATCTCACAGAAAAGAACCAAACACAGGCTACAGTGTCCTACTGGCTCTCAGAATCATCACTGCACTTTGTTGGCAGCTTTGGAAAGCAAGGTGAGTGGAGGCTGTGCATCACATGCCAGCCTGCCGGGCCAACCTCTGGATGAAGTCACTCACAGTGCAGAGGCAGCTTGTCAAAGACATTCTTCTAATGTTTTGAACACTTCCCCTGCCAGTATTTGATTAAAGAGATTTTTAATCAGCTCAAGACATCTTGCAGTATGGCTGATATTGGTGTGAGAGGGAATAAATAGCTCTCAAACGTCTCCAAATCCAAAGATATGTGTTAGAGGATCTGTGCAAGACTGCCTGTTGTTTTTGGAGATGCACATTAATAAGGATCACTCACTCTCTGGCAATACTTCCAGTCCACAAGAAGCAGCCCTTAACGTAGCTGGGGAAGGCTGTCTCACAGAAAGGTCTGGGCAAGCTGACATGGCAGGAGGTTTTCTTTCTCTTTTCTTTGGAGCCATCCTATGCCACTCTCCTCCTTTGCAACAACGCCGGGCTGGAGAAAAAAATAAACCCATTTGCGTTACGATTTGCACATCTCAGAGCCTTTGCTCCAGGCTGCCCGCAGGCACAGTTGGCCAACTCAGTGCCTTCACCAGGTTTCCTTGACGATGTCTGAAATATGTTCTTTCTAAAGCTGGACTCCGAAGCACGGATCTTGTCCGTTCACCAGGCCTTGCAAACCCGGTTTCCGTTTGAAGTCAGTTGCCTGAATTTGGGATGGAATGAGAACCGTGTCTCTTTCTGATGGCGGAAAGCAGAGGCTCAACTTCCAGAAACTTTTTCACAAAGGGTTGTGTTGGGACTGCGCAGCGCAATCAGTGCATGAGCTGTTAACGTGGAGCTCATGATTGCTCGTAGCAATCACGGGGTCTGAAAACACAGCAGGATTCAAAGGAAGATCAGCCACTCACACAAGGTAACAAGGACATCTTAAAATGAGCAGCTATTGAATTGGGATTCAGAGCTAATTTATCCCAAAGGAAGGTTATTTGTTAACTGCCTCTTGAAGATAGAGCTGGAGGAAGGGTGACAATTCCTCTTCACAGCCACCCCCAAGGATTATTCTTTCTCATCTGGAACGAAAAATAAAGCTTCTTGAAGGTGGGGGACAGGAACTGCAGACAGCAGCGTAGATGCTGCAGGATCACGTCTCTGTTGCCTCAGTGAGACAGATTCTCCAGCCCCAGAATCCAGGCCTGACCATCTCCTGAATCAGCTCTCATTGCCCAGCTCCTGAGTCTCACTAGCTCACTCTTTGCCCCATTTTCAACTCTCTCCCTTCCACACAGCACTCTGAATTCAAAAGGCCTCCTTAGAAACAGATGGGTGGTATTCAGTTGCCAAAGCACGAGGACCTCATTCTGTTTGGGCTGTCCAAGGGTATTCCTCACAGTTTGTTGCCACTCCAGATGGGCAACAGCATCCCAAGGATGCTGATCTGTATTGGCATCTACTGTAGAGATGATGGGTACCCGTGTCTGGTACCAACCCCTGTGGATAGGTGCACTCCTAGCCCAGCCTCTGTGGCTGGCAGTGAAGAGGAACTGCAGCCCTCTCTTCAGCTCTATCAGAAACTCTTCAAGAGGTGGTTAACAAATGACCCTCACTTGGGATAAATTAGCCAAATAACGGGCACTTGAAAGATAGAAGAGCCTCTTATTTAGGTAAGAAAGTGTTTATTCTCTCTCTAACTACTCCTACTGACACCACTAGCTGACGGTGATCAAGATCAAAGTGAAAACACTGGACTGACAGTGCCTGTGCTCCTCATTAATGTGTGACCTCCAGCAGGAAGGCTAGCTTATGCACCACCCTCATCTCCACACCTGATGAGCCATGCACATGACACCAGAAGCAATGCTGCAGCCACTCCCAAATACTCGAGAAAGCCTTTGAAGCCAAACTATCAGGACTGGTGAGAGCAGCCCCATCAAGTCCAAAGGGAGATTAACCAACCTCATGTGTGCACGACATTGCTCCTTCGCTACCATTGCCACTCACTAGCTTCGATGAGAAGTCAGATCACTGAACACTTGCTTGGCTCTTCGTTGGCCAGTTCCAGAAGTCAGAAATGTCACAAATCCATCAGTCCTTACCTGGGCCCTGCTTACCTCCAGGCCCATGCACAGTCAGAATGTTTCCACGTAGGCACTATTTCACCATTTCGTAGAGGAAAGTTTCCTCCTGAGGATGACAGAGCCAGTCAAATGAAGTCAGTTCCCTAAAAGATCAATGATACAATGGTGAGATGCAGAGGTTCACTTTGAACCTCTCTGGGTGACTGTGAAAAGTCAGGAATCAGTGAGTGAGAAGCAGGGCTATATCCTCCTTGCCAGGTGGGTCAAGCTCCTCATTCAAACCACCAGCCCCATCCAGACAGTGCTGAGCATCCCTTTGAGCCATTCATTTTAACCATCCATTCTAACCATTCATTCTAACCATCCAATTGCCCTACCAGACAGAAATAATTTAACACCCTAAAACCTGATGTGAGGGGACCACGGTGTGGATAAGGCACAGCCACAGGAGGCACAGAGCCCCAGAGCTCCGCTCCAGAGGCAGCAAGACAACTCTGAAAGGGAGCAAAGACAAAAATGAGGCTGAGAGCAGCAAAAATAAATCAGTGACAGAGTTTCACACAAAGACAAATGAAGTTGAAACCCGTCCTTGTTTATTTTAATGTTTGGAATGTTTCCGAGGTGATTTATGCCCCCACTTGAATGTATTTTTCTCCCTTTGTCTTTCTCTCTCCCCTCTTTTGCTTTATTTATTTATTTTTATTTTTTTAACAGAAAAAAAAATATATCTGGGAGTTAATTGGATTTCCAGGCTTTGCAGCCAGACACTGTAATTGATCTCTGAAGAGATGGATTTGTCAGTTGGCTGGGCATGCATTTGACAACGCGAGAGGAAAGGAATGAAGAACTCCCCTTGCGTGCAAAGCCAAGGTGTGTTCCCATGGCTGAGCCCCTCAGCACTGCCTCAACCTGTGCCATTGCTGCCCCACTTTTCTATCTTTGCCCCGTATTGCCCAGTCAGCTTGTGACTTTGGGCCCCTTCAGGTAAGATACCCGTGAGATCTGAACAAGATAATCCCCTTACTTAAAGCTGTGTCTCAGAGGGTGCATCTTGGCTTCTGTGCCACCGCAGCTCCTCAAAGCTCCAGCAAAAAAACGTGTTTGCTTTCATCCAAGACATGGGATACTCCTTGCTTTCCCAGTCCCTCTCCATGCCTTGCAAGTCTTATTTCCAAAGCATGGATGCATAAACAAAGAGTCCCCACAACTCTAGCTCCTGCCACCAGCCAGCACTGCTCCACACCCCAGCTCAACCCTTAACCCATCTCTGTTCTCAGCAGGCAGCACCTTCTGTTGGTCACAGCAGACTGATTCAGAGAAGGCACTGAGTTGGAGGACAGGAGCAGAGTGTGCCCAACTGCTTCTAGCCACGCTTCCCATTTCACCCAAGCAGTTTCCAAGCATCCCCACCAAGTCAAGCTCACGCTGACTAGCAGCACAACAAACCTTTGGCCATGCCCAGTGTGTTCAGATCATAAGGATCATGAAATCCCCAAAGTTTGGGCTTGAGAATATGCTCCAAATAGCTGAGATGGCTGTATACACAGAATCATAGTGACATTTCTCACTTCCCACCAAGCCTCTGCAAGCAAAGAGGGGTTATTTCTCTGTTATATGTAGCAGAGAAATTTAAATTCTGGTCTCATCTTAGCTACTGCAAAAGGCCTGATCTTGCTGCTCTGAGCAGAGCTCTATTGGAGGCTGCTGCTTTTTAAGGTTCCTCACTCAAACCCGTCATGGCCACGTGCTCTCTGCTGCCCATCTCCACAGCAGATGGCAAGCAGCCGTTCCCGACAGAATGCAGCAAGCTCCAGCACTCCCATGGGGAATTCGAGTTTGCACAGATCTCTGCAGGTGATTCCACATGGGAACTCGGCACAAAACGAGCACGGGAAAAAAACTTCAAGAATGGGCAAGAAAGGCATTTCTGGGAGCATGTTTGGCAGGGTGAGTTCTGGTTTCCCCAGCAGAGCATCCTTCTCCCATCACATAGGTATGCACTTAAGCCCCAGTTGACTTTGGTTATCTAGGAGATTACCACATCCTAGGGCGAAAGCACTCTGCAAATTTTGTCTCCTTAATGCAAAACCCGTCTCATTTCACATTTGGTCACGGATGCCCCGTCCATGCATGCATTCAAGGCCAGGCTAGATGTGGCTCTGGGCAGCCTGGTCTGGTGGTTGAGGACCCTGCACATAGCAGGTGGGTTGAAACTAAATGATCACTGCGGTCCTTTTCAACCCAGGCCATTCTGTGATTCTACGATGTATCCCAAATCCCAAGCCACTGGTACAGCTCCCAAGGAAGCCAGTGAAAAACCATCAGCCTTTCTGAGCCAGAGACCCCTTTCTATTTGCAACAAGTCAAAGGAAGGCACCAGATTCCCATTCACCTGCCAGCTTGCCCAGGAGATAAGGAATTGCAGCCCTTTTATCTGTTACAGCCCTGTCTGAAAAGCCTGGCAGAGCCTGCTCCTGTGTGAGTTAGTTGCACCGTGCTGATGTTTTGCTCCTAGAAGCAGCCCTATAATAATTGACCCAGCTTTTCTGTGCTGCTGACACCACCTGGCACGGCCTGGCAGAAGGAAGCACTGCGTTTGCACAATGCATAATTAAATACAGAGCTAACTTCCACGGGAAGCTGCCGTGGCCAAGAATTTGTGACATTTTGGAGGGGAAGCAGGCATGTGTGCGGATAACAAGAATAGCCAGAGTAACGACAGCTAAATACCAACATGCCTGTTGACAATGCTATTGATATGGCAGGCAGCCTCCCGTTATTGGAGATGATAAGCATATCTACCATGTGATGGATCTGCCTTCTGCTGCCTCTCCCATTGCAATGGCTGCTTGTGGCATCGCTCAGAGAGGTCAGAGCTGTGTGGGCACTGCAGATCCCCTCTTCTAGTGTTGTTTTTTTTAATTCTAGTGCATGTGTTGAAAATATTATGCAGCTTTGTTTTGTTGTTGCTTGCACTGGATATAAAACTGCGCGACGGGAGCGTTCCAGAATTGCAAACCTTGTTTATAGGCAGGAATATTGCTTTGTGCAGGTGTAAGGTATCACTCACGGCAGCATTACAGCTCCTACACACTGTGACAAGGAAGCAGCTCGCAAACGGTCACGCAAAGGAAAACATCTGTTACAAGCTAGCAGGTACACAGATCATCAGCAAATTGCACAGCTTGCGCCTGATTTTCCCCTTGCTTTGTTTCGCAGCTTGCAGCAGTGCAGCTCAGGAGCAGGGGGGACGTGGTGAGCACTGCTGGGGCCATGCAGCCCCAGGGCCGTGCCTGCAGATGTGTGTTGTGTCACTTCTGTTTAACTCGGGTGCACTTCTTTTTGCCTCCACCTCGCACACAGCAGATTTCCTGATCGCAGCTGGACCTTCCCATCTGCTCTGTGTTACGGAGCTTAGATCAGGAAACAGCAGGATTCTGTTTCCAACAGACAGGATCTGTGGTCGATCTCCAGCCAGCCTCAGCACTCAGCTGCGCTTCCCATCATTGCATGCAATGGTCAGAAAGGAGGATCCCCCTGTGCCTTCCTGACCGCCTACTGCCCACACTCCCACCCATTTAGATGGACTCAGACAGCCCTCAGCATTGGTTGTCATCAAACCCCTCCTCCTGCTCAGCCTTCACATCCTTGCCCCACCGAAAGCTCTTGCTCTATCCTCTATCCTATCCCTGGAGGTGTTCAAGGCCAGATTGCACGGGGCCCTGGGCAGCCTGGTCTAGTGTTAGATATGGAGGTTGGCAGCCCTGACTGTGGCAGGGGGTTGGAGATCCATGATCCTTGTGGTCCCTTCCAACCCAAGCCATTCTATGATATGTTCTGCTCCCATCCATGGAAATCCTCCCTCCCTGCATCAGGGTGCCAAAGGTTTAACTCTGCATCTTCTTTCTATATATGTACATGATCTTTCCCCCTTGAGCAAAGTAAAGAGGGGGCAGGAGGAGAGGAGCCATCTCTGGCCCCACCGTTCCATCACCTGCTATGAACTGTATGATCCTGGAGCTTCTGCTCCCACCAGCTCTCCGTCAGACACATCAATGCCTCCGGCACGTGATTTGTCATGTCAGAGGAATTCACCACTTCTGGCACCAAGCAACACAACTTATTAAGTCTCAGACACACACCTTAGCAATCGATGGGAATTTCAACTGCAACTTCATTGAGAAAAGGATCAAACCGTTTAAAATCCCATCCCTCAAGCAGAGCGGTCTTGCACTCTGCAGAAGCCCTGTGTAAACACTGGGGCTTCATCAGCATCTGCTTCGTGGGACGGGGGGGCAGGGGTCACCGCACACAGTCTGGAGAGACCCTTTGTGAGCCACCATGCAATTCCTGTCACCCCAAATTGGGGTCACAGATGGTGAGATCGGACTGGAACTGGCTCAGAGGAAGGCTATCTGGAGCAGCAGAGCAAAGGTGGCCTTTTTACAAGAGTCAGCTGCTGGGAGAGCCCGAATTGTTAGTCTAAGAAAATGAAAGTGGAGAGGTGATAAAATTGTTCTCTCTCCATATATCAGGGGGTTTAACATGAAGGAAGAGAAAGTGCTGTTTAAGGTGGAAGGACAACATCAGCAAAAGGTCACAAACCGACATTGAATAAATTCAGGTGAGAAGCTAGAATGAGGTGTTTTACTGTCCAAACAATTAGAGGGAAAGCTAATGCAATAAGAAAGGGTTTTTCAGCTTAGGGAAGGGGTGAGAAGCTTCACTGTCTGCAATAGCAGAAGGAATAGGGAGAAGGACTTGATGGCCTGGGGGTTCTGCAGAAGCAGTGCTTTTGCTTTTAAAACAGCACCGCTGTAGCCATGCAGACCAAGGAGGGCAGAGAGACAAGGTGTGCTTGGAGCAACAATCCATTTGTACAAGGTCAAAACGATTTAATTGGAAAAACGTGACGAGTTTGAGACTTGGGTCCGAATTGGAGCAGTAAAAATCAAGGCGAACACAAATCAAAAGACTGTGATAATACACAGGAGCCTGAGGGCTGGATTCCACCCCTCCAATGGGTGCTGGGGTGAGAGAAGGCAGCTTGGAGCAAACACCAGCAGAAAGAGCCCGTTGCCATGCCAGTGCCAGCTGTCCTGTTGCAGCCCATGGAAATCCATACAGAAAATCATTAAACAAT